TTTCTGTTAGAAGTCCAAAGCTTATCCCTGCAGGGCTCCTTAAGATGCACTCACACATACAAAAACCAGACCAGCTTAAATGCATTTCATCATAACTTGAATGCATTGTAAGTCAGGAACTACATGTACAGTCAACGAAGGGAGAAAGATGAAAAGCTAGGAAATAAGACCAGTGTTGGCAGTGGTGATGGTAGTGGGGGTACCCAACTGCCATTAAGTTGATTCTAAATCATGGCGATACTGTGTGAAGAGAACTTAAAAAATACATGGTGTGGGGTGGGAGCAGGGTGAAGAAAGACGCAACATTCCCTTAGGAGACATGGAGCTTCTGTTAAGGGTGATGGAAAAATTCCAGGATAGTTAACACCTGAACATGATGAACAAATTTAATATCACTTAACCATATATGCGAAGATTGTTGAAACAGAAAATGTCTGTTACCAATAGATTTACAACAATGAAAAAAACAAAACAAACTTTTGCTTTCCACTCACATTACTGAGGGATTTTCTGGGATGGGGGTCTTTTAGTGTTAAAACTAGAAAAGTTCTGGGTAAACTGGGATGAGCTGTCCATCTAATAGTTAGATCTGATTTCTACCCAGAAACTCTGTTCTATTTTGAGAATTTGCTGCTGTCTGGAAATAATGAAAATAAGGCACAGGTTTTCAAACCCAGCAAGTTCCCTTTAATATACACCATTTCTTTCTTTAGTTCATCTTTCTTTTATCATCTCTTAACATAGGCAGTGTGAAGAAGCCAGGTGATACTTTCTATATTCTGTCTAGAAATCTAGATCAAGTTAATAGGTACATTTCTACTTTCCACATTACTGCAGGTGTTAGAGTTGCCTAACTTTTTTCCACAGTAATAAAGGTTCCATTTTCTCCCGCTTTTAATACCATTTTTCTTACTTTCCTTTAAGCTCTCAACAATAACTTTTCAAAGTCCTTTAGGTTTCTGCTAATACTCTCTTCAAGGCCCTTTGGGTTTCATTAACATTGTCCTCTCCTCTAGCCTTCTAGAATTTGATTAATACAGACTTCAGAGCCCTTTTGGCTTCCATTGGCTAGGCCAAAGCCAAACGCACAAGTTTCAAGTTCCTGAAACAGAAGCATCCTAGTTTCAGGGGACAAAATCAGTTCCAACATCTACTGCTGCATAACAAATCACTCCAAACCTTACTGGCATAAAACAACAAACATCTCCCACACCACCCTTCTTCTTCTTGTTAAGTGCCATCGAGTTGGTTCTGATTCATAGCGACCCTGTATAGGGTTTCTGTGGAGTGGCCAGTGGGTTCAAACCACCAACCTTGCAGTTTAGCAGTCCACTACTTATCCTACAGCACCACCCACTCCTTAAAAATGTCTAATTTAGGCAGGGCTCAATGTGAAGAGTTAAGTTTCTGTTCTAGTCAGTATCACTTAATAAGACTTAATTGAGTTAGGGTTATAGGATCTACTTCTAAGAGGAAGTCTTAAAACTCACATGGCTGTCAAATGTATGCTAGCTGTCAGCTTCCTTCCAGACAGGGTGTCTTGGGCTCTCTTCCAGTATGGCACAACTGGTTTCCAAGAGTAAGCACCCAGAGAGAATGGGAAGTTGACCATTTCTTAAAGCCTGGGCCCAGACAACAGCATAGCATTAATTTTCATGCGGTGCTGTAGGAAAAACACTCAACCACAAAGTTGATTTGAACTGCAAGGATAGTGGTTCAAATTCACCAGCTGCTCCTTGGAAACCCTATACAGGATTGCTATGAGTTGGAAACACCTTGAGAAAACTTAACAACAGCAACAACAACAACACTGGTCAAGAAGTACAGTACCTATATTCAAGGGTAGGGGACAAAGACTTTACCTCTTGATAGGAGGTCAATCTTGAGATCATGTTTTAGAATTGTCACTTTACTCAGAATAAACAGAAAATTGTAATTTATTATTGCAGACATTAAAGAAATTATTTAAATATATTCTCATTTGTTAACTATCTCAATAGTTAAATATGTTCTCATGAAGAAATCAATCAGGCCCAGATGGTTTCTCGAAAGATAAGAGAGACCTCCACACTCACTTTACGAGGTGAGTATACATTTGTCCAACCAACAATTAGTGGGGTGCTATAGGATAAGCACTGGACTGCTATTGCAAGGTCAGTGGTTCAAACCCACCAGCCACCCCTCGGAAACCCTATACAGGGTCGCTATGAGTTGTAAATAACTTGATGCATTTAATATCAAACAAGTCAAGAACCATTCAATAAAAATGCTGACACAGTTGATTATCAGCATGGTATAGAAGGAACCGAATGTGTCTTTACCTCATGTCAGTCATAAAAACTAATTGCAGATAAAATAAATACTCTTGTATTAAATATCTTAATTAAATATTGTAATTATTTCAAATTTAGAAAAATATCAGATAGTATACTGAAAAATAGTCAAGAGTTTAAATTACCCACTTAAATTATTTAAGGTTTGATACAATTTAAATAATTTTAGATTTATAATAATCAGTTGTAATCCTCTAAAAAAAAAAAAAAAGTCAAAACTTCTTAAAGAATTTGATCAAAACGGAGAATTATTATTCTGAGTACTCCTTTGAAGCCAGGTTGGTGAAACTTCATCTCTCGTACTTCAGACATATCAGGAATGTCCCTGGAGATGGGCATCATGCCTAGTAAAGTGGAGGGTCAGAGTAAAAGAAGAAACCCAAAGGAGATGGATTGGCACAGTGGCAGCAGCAATGGACTCAAGTGTGGCAATGGATGTGCAGATGACGTGGAACAGGGCAGTATTTTGTTCTGTTGTGCACACGGTCACTATGAATTGGAACTGACTTAACAGCACCTAACAACAATTGCCTTGAGATCATCTTTAAACCTTAAACCAAAAATATCCCCTGAAGTCTTCTGCAAACAGAACAATAGTTTAAGTTAACCAATCAAGCATGTCTGTCTGGAGTACTGTGCTCTTCTAAATTCAAATCGCTTTGGGATCAAAGTGACAACAGCAATTTGAAAGATTAGGCAGGAAATTTAGGGGAAAGTGAGTTATGTCAATGGGAGAGGAAGAACACATTGGGAAAAAAGGGTGACAATGGCTGTTTATCCCAAAATATGATCAATGCACTGGATGGTAAACGTAGATAGTGTTGAATTGGTGTATGTTCTACTGTGTATATTCTCAATAGCAAAAATAAGTTGTAAGTAATAAACAATGCTATGTTTTCCCTAGATGGGAAAACAAGACTCCTTGATTTGAAGGCTTTTTAACCCCCTTTTCTGATAATAAAAACTAAAGAAAGTTGGCTAAAGCTAAGATGATTCCTAACAGAAACTTTATATTCATGTATCCTTAAGTATTAAATGAAAAAAAGGTAATGAATTCTTTCAAAGATTGGCGACATCACTTCCCTTTTTAAGTTGATAATCATTTAATTTTTTTTTTTTTAATTGTAGAATTTTAGGTAGGTCAAGGAGAAAAGCCAAATGAAAAATACATAATCAGGGAATATCAGTAAAAACTAGAATCGAAAGATGTTTAGTTAGAAGATAAATTCTTAACTATAAGACATAATGCTGATTAAAAATTAGTCTTTGATAAAAATACAAAATTCAGTCTCTGTATAAAATCATATAAAAAAGGTCTTTGTGCTCAGAAACTTAGATCAGTGTTCCTCAATATTAACTGCAGAGGAATCACTTAGAGTTGATTTTTTTAAAGTTGATGCTGAAGCCCCACTCTAAAACGTTCCAATTTCATTGTTTTGGCAGTAGAGATTGACCACTGAAAATTTTTAAAAGCTCCCCAGGTGGGGGATTCTTGGTCTAGACCAAGAGTTTGCTAACTATGGGCCACAAGTTAAGCTGACCTGATATTTGTCTTTGTAAATAAAGTTTTACTGGAAAACAAATATGCTCACTCATTTACATATTGTCTATGGCTATTTCCACACTATAATCCACCCACCAAAACCCACGGCCATCAAATCTATTCTAATTTGTAGTGATCCTATATAAGGTTTCCAAGGTTACAAATCTTTATGGAGCATAAAGATTCATCTTTCTCCAGCAGAGCAACTGGTGAGTTTCAACTGCAGACCTTGCAGTTAGCAGTCCATTGCTTATCCTACAGTACCACGAGGGTTCCATACTACAAGGTTGTTTAAGAGCTATAGAGTCTGTTCCAACACATAGCAACATTGGATAGGGTTTCTAAGGAGTGGCTGGAGGATTTGAACCACCAACTTTGCAGCTAGCAGTCCAGTGCTTCTCCTACAGTAATGTGATTCTTAAAAATACAATGTATGAAGTTTCCCTGGGGGAGAAAAATCTTTACAGTGGAGTTTTTCGGTTTTGTTTTTTTTTAAACATATACAATACAGGGTAGAATTTTAGGCAAAGAGATTTATTCTTGAAATTTTGTTCAGAAAAACTTTTAGCAAATGAATTGACTACTTTTTTAGAATTATACACAATCATTCATTGATCTTTGAATTTTTTCTATAATGGTACCACACCAGGACTCTATCATATTATAATGTTGTTAAGCGCCATCAAGTCAGTTCTGACTCATAGGGACCCTGTCCTGGTGTGGCGCTGAAGGATAAGCACTGAACCACAAGGTAGGTTTGAACTACAGTCAGTGGTTCAAACTCACCAGCTGCTCCTTGGAAATACTATACAGAGTCACTAAGAGTTGTAACCAACTTAACAGCACTTAACAACAACAACTATGGGTTTCCAAGGAGTGAAAACCATAAGCCTGCAATTATTTGACCCTTTACAGAAAAAAGTTTCCTAGTGAATGTCATTTAAAAACTTTTATAACGTAATTCTTCATAATAAGATAAAATGGAATGTATAGAGTTTATTATTTATATATTATTTATATACACTGAAAAAATTCAAAGATCAATTAAAGATTGTGTATAATTCTAAAAATTAGTAAATTCTAAAAAGTAGTAAATTCATTACTAAAAGTTTTTCTGAAAATAATTATTGAACAAAATTTCAAAAAATAAATCTCTTTGCCTAAAATTCTACTCTGTATTGCACATGTTTAAAAACAAAAAAATCTCCTCCAGTGTAAACATTTTTCACCCCCTGGGAAACTCCATACATTGTATTTTTAAAAATCACATTACTATGCACGGTTTAAACACACACACACACATATATTTATATTAAGAAAACAAATATACAAGCCAAATGGCTCTAAGAAAAGGTAAAAAGAAAAGGCTCCTTTCTGGCTTCAATAGAAAGAGTGGTAGTATGAAGATTTCTCGGTAACAATCTATTTTAAAATTGAGTTTCTCACCTTAACATTTTCAATTGCCTCCAAAACTCTGTCTTTCAGATGTGCAGAATCATTGAGTTGCTTTGTTAAATTTCTGATGACAATATCAAAGTGATTTCCTTTGAGTTGGCCAAGTCTAAGGGAATCATCTGCAGATCGAATATTAAACACACTCATTCTTTTCTTTTCAATTTCTTTTTCAATGTTTTTCAACCTATAAATGATAAATCATATACCCATTAAATTTTACATTTAAAAATGGCGTTAGTATAAGATTTTTAAATGACAACTATATTTCATTGCCAGACAGCCATTTACAGCAGAAAGTTAATGCAAGGAGTGGAAAAGGCAAGAATATTAAATAAATTTCTCCATTTTCTTCTGACCTCTAGAGTTTCTAAAGAGGAATCTACATTGAGCCCCCCCCCCCCCCCTTTTTTTTTTTGGTAACTTTTCATTGTGAATTGGGTAACATCAAATTAAAGTAGACTGGTTTTCCAATCATCAATTCATACATACTCTGTTTCATCAATATGAGACCCAAAGGTCAGCAATAACTCAAAAACAAAAGATAAGATAAGGAAGGGGCAGGGAAACTAAAGTAATGGAAAGGACACATTGTGACGGTGGTGGTGATGTGCTGTGGAGTCGGTTTTGACTCCTAGAGATCCCATACAGGGTTTCCTAAGCTGTAAGTCTTAAAAGGATCAGAAAGCCTCATCTTTGTCCCATGAACAGCTGGTACTTTTGAACTGCTGACCTTGAGGTTAGCAACCCAACTTGTAACCACTACGCTACCAGAGCTCCTAACACACTGTGATAAATACAACTACTGTCAATGAACAATCTGTATGGAAATTGTCAAATGGGACGCTAACTTGATGTGTAAACTTTCACTGAAAACTCAGTAAAATATATTTTCAAAACAGGAATGCTAAAGTAAATTTTTCTTTTGGAAAGCTCAAAGGTCAATTTTTTATTTCAACAAAATGTGCTCTAAAAACCCATTATTATAAGATTATGTAAACATCGTTACTTTGTTGTTGTTGCTGTTGCTAAGTGCTGTGGAGTTAATTCCAAATCACAGTGACCCTGTACAATGTTTTCAAGGAGCTGCTGGTGAGTTTGAACTGCTGACCTTGCAGATAACAGTTCAGTGCTTATCCTACCGGGTCACACCAGAATTTTAAGAAACTGAAAATATATTCCTAATGCCATCACTCAATTTATGCGAGTATTCTGACTGATCTTACTCCAAGCATTAGCACCTTCTAACTGTACTCTACATTCTGCTCCGAGCTACTGCCCCTCTCTTCCTCAGTTTCTCTTCTGCCAACATTACCACAAAACCATTCGCATCAGAAGACTGTCTTAAAATTCGACTGTAAATATTTTCTTACCTAGACTTTCGATTATTCCCATTTTGAGAGTATAGATTCCAAGTACCTTGTAGAGTAACAATTAGACCCTACAGGATCTGGTATAAGATTTTCTTTGCATTCATTATTTTCTGTAGTTCTTATGTTGCTGTTGTTGTTAAGTGCCACTGAGTCAGATCCAAATCATAGCAACCCTGTATAGGGTTTGCAAGGATTGGCTGGTGAGCTTGAACCACCAACCTCGAGGTTCAAACTGACCTTGCAGTCCAGCACATTAGCCCTCAGTGCCACACCAGGCCTCCATGTTACTGTTGTTGTTAGGTGCTATGGAGTCAGTTCTGATTTGAAGCAACCCTATACAGGGCTTCCGAGGAGCAACTGGTGAGCTTGAACTGCCGACCTTGAGGTTCAAACTGCCCTTGTAGTCCAGCGCATTAACCCACAGCCACCAGGACTCCCTACATCTGCTACAATTCTACGTTACTTAAATAATTAAACTCCTACGCTTAAAAGGGACTTTAGGTGCGGCATTATACAGTAAGCACTAGATGGTTAACCACAAGGCCGGCGATTCAAACCCACCAGCTGCTCCTCAGAAACCCTATATGGGGTGGCTATAAGTCAGAACCAACTTGGCAGCACTCCACAACAACAACGACATGCTCATAAGGCAAAATGAAAGTATTCTTTCTTCCTAGGAATTGGTAGCGTCTTTCATCATTAAAAAACTATTTTTGTCTAAAATACCTTTCTTCTTACCTACACTGAAATTCTCAACCACAAAGACAAAGTTTTATGCATTGTTTATCCCTCATATATAAGCCTACAAGAGTAACTCTAACTAGGGCATGTGAACATCTGATACAATTGTTTTTCAACCTAATAAAAACAATTATCCTACAGCGCCACACCAATACTGCAGAAGACTATTAGTAGCAATATTATTTACTGTGAGTTTCTGTATTCAAAAATAGGGAAATGCTATGTAAATTAGTTTAGATGATGATGGTCTATTAAAAAGCACGATTTAAAAGTATTTCATTTCATAAAACAGTGTTGTTGTTGTTACGTGCTATCAAATCAGTTCAGACTCACAGTGATCCAGTATAGGGTTTCTGAAGCTGTAAATGTTTGCGGGAGCAAAAAGTCTCTTCTTTCTCCCATGGAGTGGTCGGTGGCCTCAAACTGCTGACCTTGTAGTTTGCAGTCGAGTGTTTATCCTACTGCAATCCCCAATAAATTATTATTTCCCTTTAAAAAAAAGTTTAAGTATCATATACAGTATGATATGTAAATGTGCCTTTGTTGGGTGTGTTTATATGTAGTGTAGTCTCCGAAAAAGTCTGTAAGGAAATATGTCAAAATATTATCATGGCTATTTCTAAGCAGTAGAATTATTAGTGACTTTTCATTGCTTGCAAGGTCAGTACCATACTCGATTCTACTTAACATCCTAAATATACGATGGGCCCTGGTAGAGCAGTGGTTCAACATTACGCTAACCAAGAAGTCAGGGGTTCAAACACACCAACCAGCCACTTTATGGGCGAAAGACGAGGTAGTCTACTTCCCTAAAGAAATACAGCTTTGGAAACCCTACGGGGCAGTTCTACTCTGTACTATAGGGTCACTAGAAGTGAGAATAAACTTGATATTGTTCTATGCCTATTAAGTGGCACATCGTTAAGTTCTAACTCACAGCAACCCTGTACACAGCTTCCGAGTATACAGCAGCTGGTAGGTTTTGAACTCTTTACCTGCTGACCTTGTGGTTTTCATTCCATTGCTTATCCTAAAGTGCCACATCAGGATGGGTAACAGGGATCCTAAATATAAATATTTACTTAAATGCAGTACAAGATGTTATACACAACTTAAGATCATTTAAATTCTGCTATATCTTAAAGTTTCTATTCTGGAATTTGCCATATTTTAAATGTAAATTTAAGATATGACTCTATTTACAAATGCAAAATGTATTGCTCAGTAAGCCTGTGATCAGTTAATTAATATCAATAGTAAGGAAGTCCATATGCCCCCATACTAGTCTCAATTCTTAATGTACTTGTTTTATGTAATAGGAAAAGTAAAATTCGATTTTGTAAAGTAATGTTTTATTACCTCTCTGGAGTCACCTTTCTAACAACCATTGATTGATAGGTGACGGCTTTCTTGTCTTTAAGGCCTGCATAACTGAAATCTGAAGGAATCACCCCAAGCTTGACAGCTAAGAAACCAACTGCCTCAAACATTTCCAGATTCTCCTTTCGTAGGGTGAAAGCTGAAACAAAAATAATTCTGATTATACACAAAAAAGCTACCATACATCAATTACACTTTTAAGAGTCTCGGTGTGGTGCTGTAAAATAAGCACTAGACTGCTAACTGCAAGATCAACTGCTCATATTCACCAACCACTCTTTGGAAACCCTACACAGGGGCGCTATGAGTCAGAACCAAATCAACAACATGTAACCACAACAGATTAGTATAATAATTCAAAGCATTAATTTTTTTAAAGTTATAAAGAGCACTTTTGAATCAAAATATAAAATCAGCTTCATAGATTTCAGCTAATGCTATCTGAAAAATTATTCACTCATCAAAGGTTTATGAACCAACTCAACGGCACTTAACAACAACAACATCAAAGGTTTATAGGGGAAAAAAATCCCAATTCCTTAATTTGACATTCAAATTCCCTCACCATGGGTCCCACTCTACCTTCCAGCCTCTGCTTAGCTAGTTCCTTTCATATATCCTATAACGGTGACACAGGAAATTGCTCAAAATCTCTGGATGGGATAGTCCCCGACAGCTTGGTGTCTTTACACATCTTAGCACCTCTGTCTGAAATGTGTGCATCCACCATGTGTCACTCATGTTTGTTAGTTGTCATCGAGTCAGCTCTGACTCATGGTGGCCCCATGGACAACAGAAGGAACACTATTCAATATGGCATCATCTTCCCGATCGGTGGTGTGCCCCAGTCCACTCTTGCAGCCAATGTATATTTTCAGTGACTTTTAACTCAGGGCTCACTTACAGCATTATATCAGACTACGTTTTTTACATTTCATATAATTTAAAAGGTTTCATCTTCTGTTAATAACAGGACCGTATATTTTTTTCCAAATATTCCTTTGGTCACGTCTATTTGATTCATTTTAAATTATTCAGCACCCAAACTATTTTAAGCTTATCCAAGTAAATGATGATGATTTATACCTTACCTGTATATATACATTTTTTTTCCTGGCATCCAAGGAGAGACCGTTTCCTGTGCTTGTATGCTTTTTCCCGAAACTTGACTGTAATCACTACATTTGGATTAGCAGCTTTGTAATTCAGTTCAGAAAAGGATTTGGTTTCTACCAGGTTTCCAAACTTCTTGTTAACAAAATGATGGACAGCTTTCCTGTGGTCTTTGTTCATATCAGGTTTAAAGGTAAATTTGGAATTTTCTTTCTTTGCATCCAAAAACTTAAAAAAGCCAAATGCTTCTTCCTCAGATACCAGCTGACAGAGTTCTTTATACTCAAGATTTGGCTTAACAAGAATCTCACTGTTTTTCCCTACAGTTATTAAGTAAGGAAATGTCTGCCTAATAGCACTATGTAAACTGGCTCTTTGGTTTTTGTCAAGGATTCTGCCTAAAGAGAATTCAGGAGATGGTCTTATTTGCTCAGTTTTACAATTCAACTTCTCTTTTACATCACAGGCAAACTGATTCAATAATTCATTAGTCTTCTCATCTAAAAAAGAGCCTAGTATATCTGCTTTTTCATCTTCACATTTGGAAGTGCCATCATTGATAGTACCGTCTTCATTTTCTAAACCAGAGTGATGATTTTGGTCACCCTCAGGACATCTAGTTAAAATATCAAGTTCTTGGTTCGGTCCACCTTCAAAGGGTACGTTTTTAATATCAATTTTTGTTTTTTTGGCAAAATTAACTGGCTCAGGTAGGATGTTATTAATGTTGTAAAGAGATTCATCGGTAGCTTTATTAACTAACTGTCCCTGCTCATTGATTTCAATAACAACAAAGTCATTTGGGGAGCTTTTGATAGTGCCACGAAATCCAACATGATCATTAACATAACATAAAGAACCTAGTCTGATTCCAGAATCTGCAGCATCTTCCATTCTTAAACAATAATGTCTACAAAAGAAACAAAGACGCAGTTAGTGACCAGAAAGAGAAGTTATAAAAACTGAAAAGGAGTAGTTTTCCTGGATTGTTTCTTTTTCTCTTTTGATCTTGAGTTCTCTTAAGTGACATTAATAGCTTAATTTATAACTATAGATTAGCTAAATGAATAGGCAAATATTTTATAATATAACTGGTGATACGTAACTTGACTCTTCATCCACCCCAGTCTTCTATCTACTGGTGGTGGTGGTGGTGGCGGTGGTGTGCCGTGGAGTAGGTTCCGACTCATAGCAAACCTGCATAGGGTTTCCGAGACTGTAAATCTGTACAGGAGCAGAAAGCCTCATGTTCCTCCTGAGGAACGGATGGTAATTCCGGACTGATGTAGCAGCACGACTTATAACTACTACATAGCAGGTTTTAAATGAGTCTGTTGTAAGCGTACCTGAAAAATATTACTTGTAGAACTGTTTACAATATGCCCAAACTTCATCTGTAAAGCTATAAATATCACTGATTTCAGAGAATTGAGGACTAGATTTTTATATACTAAGAAGTCAGAGACAAGAAGAATACAGAAAGAAATAATCTGAATTAATATCAGTTCTAAATGCCAACTTGTAATTGGATTATGTATTAAAATAGATTTAGTTTAGTCCCTGACCTTAAGGCTTCTCATTAGGACAGACACAAAATTTTTAGGTTGACCCCAGGAGATTTCTAACTATCAAATCTTTGCCATGACAGAAAAGAGACCTTTATAGAACTTTCTGGGAGCAGTATGTAACAGAACGTTCCTGAAGAAGCTTTGACTCGCTCTTCACACAACCCATGGATACTATACCATATGGCACTATGGCAAAGACTGTTGCCCAGGGACCTCATACCACTCATATTATCAGAAACTCACACACTCTTAAATTCATCATCATCAAGACTGTTGCCCCCATTTAAACAAAGAATTCTACTAATGCAAACAAACCACTTTACCAACTTCCCCATCTCAATGCTTTCCATTGTACCACACAGAAATCACACAAACATTCTATATCCTAATTTCCTAGGGAATACTTCATTAGGATATTTCATCAATTCCTTAATTTCTTGCATATTCCCTTCAACTTCTTGCCCTAACTGAAACCTGGCAATTTCCCCAAACTACATCTGCAGTTTTCTCAAGTAAATGCTATTTTTCCTTTCACATACCATTTGTCCTAGGTCTGTAGGTTTTAAGTATTCTGTTCCCTACAGCTCCTTCCAAACCATTTCTTCCACCTCTACTTTCAAAATCCCCAGTACCTTTGAAGTTCATGCCATCAATCTTTACCATCTGCTGTCATGTTCACTCACCCCCTGCCCCGAGCACCGCTCTTATCCACTGATGATAATACCTGGCTTACTAGCTTCATATCTAGCATGAATTCCAAGATCACCCACAGGCATCTTCCATTGAACATCATGGGCCCTCAGCTCCTCAAGGTCCCAGGTCCACTTCATCTCAGCCACCCTCTCCTACGGCCACACCTTTCTCATCTCCATAAACCATACCTTACAAATCATCTCTCTCTCTGGTCATCCCTGCTGTCTTCCTGTCACCCCGCACTTGGTACTTCCATTCCAGCAATTCTTAGACATTATGAAGGCCTCTAATCACGGCTTCTAGTACTGACTCACTATAGTCTATTCTCCATATAGCAGCCACATTTTCAAAGGTAAATCATATTAAACCCTGTTTAGAAGGCGCTGTGGGTTAAAACACCAGACTGCAAAGCCATTTGAACTGCAAGGTCAGTGGTTCAAGCTCACCAGCTACTCCTCAGAAACCCTATACTGGGTCACTCTGGGTTGGAATAGACTCAACTGCACTCAACAAAAACAACAACAAATAATATTTATAATAAGTTCCAAATTCTATATCCTGCGTTTCAAAGACTATGATTCTGACCTGTCTATTTTCCAAAATTATCTTGTACCCTTCCCTTGATGCTTTACTGGTCTTAAGTTCCTCTGCACTAACTGCACCTACTGCTTAAATTGTTATTTCCCCAACTATACCAGAGGACTTCAAAAAGTTCGTGAAAAAATTCCATTGTATTTTCATTCCATGTTTCCATTAAAATTCTGAAGCCCTCAGCTATACCTTCTAGTAATCAATCATGTCCTCAGAGAAGTCTTCCCTGACCAATAATAGTCTAAAGAAACTAGCAAGTCACTCTCTTCATGAATTCTTATTTAACTTTCTTTACAGCTTTTGATTTAATATTTGTTGTTTTGATTTACTATCTCTCTCAGTAATATATTAGATCTACGAGAGCAGGAACCTTGCCTGTCTTATTCATCACTGGTTGTCCCTAGTTTAGGACAGTGTGAAGCGTCTGTTAGGTATACAATCAACACCGACTGTTGAATGAATGAATGAAACAACAAGGACAAAATAAGAGCTGGAAAAGTGAAGAGGAGGACATAAGGGGTCACTTTTGCCTGTGATAATCAGGAATTGCATAATGCAAGAAGTGGCCATCTAAGTGTGGCCTCAAATGGGGTCACTAGAAAGAAATGAGGCAGAGAGAGTATCATTAAATTACGTACAAACAAAAGATTCAATGTGTTAAAAAAAAATAGACAAACAGCCCAGATCCAGAGAAGTAAAAAGGGAAGCTTTCTAGTACAGTTCTGAAAACTACAGCAGAATTAGAGTCCGATTGTGGAAGGCAATAAATGCCCTGCCAAGGACTGAAGAATTCATCTGGTGGCTATTAGGATGTCTTAACAAGACCGCACACCCCCAAAAGATGCTTTAGTGAGATGAATCTGATGGCACTCAAGGATCAGGAAACGGCCTTGGAAAGAACACTGACCTTCTTCTCCAGAAAAAGGAAGCCATGAAGACATTTTTAGCTAGTGGACTAGGTAAAGGAATTAGCGGAGGTGACGACAAGGGTTGAAGGAGTGGACAAATGCAGACATTGAGTAGTATAGGAGTATGAGAAAAGTTTGGAGTTGGGAGTTTGGGACTGAAAGGGAGCCAAGGAGGACACTTGGAGCTAAGTATAAATGTGCAAGATTCCTAAACAACAGAGCGCGCAGATCCGAGTACGGGGAGCCGAGGTGGCAGTTAATCTGGTTAACCTAAAGTAGGGGAATTGTTGCTTGTGGAGGGATCCTGAGAAGGTGGTAGATATGGAAGGAGAGCGTTCCCTTTTACTTCATGAGTTTCCTTCCCACCTGCCCAAGATCTGCCGAACTCGTCCCCAGAAAAACAGAATTAAGCCTGTGTTGCCGTCTCGTCCCTGGGGTATCTCCGGACACTGCCAAAACGCGACTTCATTCTTTCCGACTTCTCAGCCCCCAGTGTGGTCCATGCCGCCTTCGTCGTGGGGGCAAAAAGATAAGGATTAACAATGAAAACTGTTATAGTGCCATACACAAGCCCTATACCATGCAAGCAGCAAAGCTTAAGATCCATTTACCTTTAAATCCAGGCGAAGCTACGCCTCTGCACAACGGAGTGCGCATGCACGGAAGTCTTATATATTTACCCTCCGACTGGGGCGTATTTAAAGGGGCAGCGAGAATGGTAAATTCTTGGAGAAGCTTGTAGAAGCAGAAGGCGGGGCCTGGGGCGGGGCTTCCTGCCAAGCCACTTCCCAGTATTCCGAGTCCTCCGCTGCTGCTCCGCTGGCACCCGGTACCCCCATACCCCCGGCAGGTAAGCCTTCGCTGCGGTCCTCGCCACCTTCTACCCGGAGGTTGACTAGGGTTCGCGTCCCGGAGGTTGTCTAGGGTTCGCGTCACTGCCTCCCTTCTGTTCCAGGTTTGTCGTGGACTCAGTCACCTGAAGTCTTATCGCCTGTCAAAGTGAGAAAAGTTCGAAATGAAATAGGTTGCATGGGAGAAATCCACTCCAGCATCATGAACTGGGTTGGGATCCTGGGCATCCAAAAAAGCCCAACTTGAAAAGGAAGCTGAGGTGAGGAAAGACGCCACCTAGCTCTTCAGTGGCGCAGTCAGATTTCGCTTCAAGTTCCTCAACTCCTTGGCGTTTGTTGTCTGATGGTGGTGGTGTACTGTGGAGTCGGTTCCGACTCATAGTGACCCTACATAGTTTCTGTGTAAATCTTTACGAGAGCAGAAAGCCTCATCTTTCTCCCGCGGAACGGTTGGTAGTTTCAAACTGCTGACCTTGAGGTTAGCAGCCTTACTCCTAACTATTACGCGACTACCAGAGCTCCTTTTGTTTTCCGAACCCCTGTACAAATGAAATCTTGTTTCTTAACCAGGAAGTAGCTCAGCACTTAAGCAGAAATGCTTCTGGTTTAAGGAAGAGCCTGCCCATGATTCTTACTTAGCAGTTTGTTTCCTTGGGAAAAAAAAAAAAGACACGAGAAAATAAGTGCACCAGACATTTAGAATGGGAACAGTTAGCTCTATTGGTGCCTCAAAATCAATCTTACCTGTCTAATGAGTCCTATCAGCAGATATTCTGTTCTCCCTCTTTCTGGGGCTCATCCTTAAAGTCAGTCAGTGTCACTGATACTCCACAAACTGGCTTTCTCACTTCCTCCAATCCATGCATCAAATAACACCTTAGTGAACGTTGCTGGAGAAAGATGTGTTATAATTCGTAGATGTTTGTTTAAGGATAGTCTATATCACTTAATAGGTTCAGAAGGCATCATCAGCTTCTGTTCATAACGATGACTTGAATTGTCTGAAAATAAAGTTAATTATCTGATATAATTTTCTTTAAAAGGCACAGAAGTAAAGGAGTTGCTGGTAGGTTTGAACCGCTGACCTTGCTGCTAGCAGTCCAGTACTTATCCTACAGACTTACTCCAAGGCTCTAGATTAATTATGAAGAATCCTGGTGTGGCGTTGTATGTAGGATGTTGTTGTTGTTGTTGTGTACCGTCGAGATGGTTCTGACCCATAGCAACCCTGTACAGGGTTTCCAAGGCTGTATCGTTCTCTCACGGAGCAGCTGGTAGTTTCG